CTTATTAGCCGCCAACATTATATAATAACTGATATAATAACTATACTCAGAATGCAAGTTTTCATATTTTGTGATGTCTCTAAATTTAAAGCATAACGTAAGAATCATTTGCTGATAGCCTGCAACTTGACTATAAGCTCAGTCTGCCTCCACCTAATTTAAGAAAATAGTTCTGAAGTTCAAATTGTTTGCTGAATAATTCCCCACCCCATCATATTAAGTCGGTTGTAAGCTGAAGTAGTTATATCCTGGTGAAGTAAAATAGCTTTCTCAATAAAAGCTACTTTCTCCAGCATTGAAATAAGTTTTTTTTAGAAACTGCCCCCAGAACTCGTTGAACAGTAGGAACTGTGGGAAGAAGATAGTTTTAATTTCTTGAGAATTCCAAATATAGTAAGCAATAATTCAATTAACATTCCTGCTCATCAATTGTTGTTTTAACAAGTGGTCCAAAATATTGTTTCCAACAGGTTACAGAGGAAGTGAGAAACCTTGTCAAATCAACTAAGACTTTAATTTCACACATTTCCTTTCCTTTTGATGATTTCACTTGAATGTGTATGTACGTATATGAGGATGTATATTAGAAAAGTAATTTTTGAATTCAATGCTTTCCCCGCTGCTTTCTTGGTGATCACCAAATGGTGCCAAGTTTGTTTTCTTTAGGAAGATCAGATCTTAGGAGATCTACTCTTAAGGATTTGCTTTAACAATCTGCAGCTCAGTGACCACCACTCATTTTACCCATTCGCTCAGCTTCAAATTCATTTACATCCTTACCTCCTCCAAAACTGAGAGTAAGATGTAGATGAATTGTGTTCTTTTTTTCATTTCAGACCTTTAAATAAAATTCATTATGCTTACCAGATGAGGGCAGCATTTGATCATTCTAGATTCTTACTTGCACCAATGGACAGCAAAAGCCTTGCTAAAAAAATTTAGGGTCCTCCTTTGGCTTTCCAGGGATTTGAATCTACAGTTGCAACTGATATCCTAAATTAATTCATTTTGTTGTTCAAGAAACAACAAGCAAGATGGAAGAGCTGGCAGATTGGCCCTCTGGGCAAATAATGGGGGTCACAGCATTGGCAGAATACTTCCAAAGTACAAAAAAATGCTTTGTAGCTCAGCATTACTACTTACAATTTCAGGCATGGCCTAATTACATCATTAGAGTTAATACAGCAACAAATTCCTTCTTCCACTTTTCTGAAAGCTTTCTTTCAGGGCAAAAGGCACACCTGTCTGTACTTCATTCAAAGGATGTTTTTGAATCACCTTTGGCTGAATGTCTATGGGAGTACCCAGGGGTGGGATTCTACCAGTTCGCACCTATTCACTAGAACCAGTTGTTAACATTCTAAGCAGTTCGGAGAACTGGTTGTTAGAAGAAATTCCTGGTCTAGTCCTGTAAGAAAAGCAGGAAGGAAACATTCTGGTGTTGCTTACAGAAACTGCCTCTCCGTTAACCCTTATTACATTCTTGGCAGGACTAGACTTCCTGTCTCAGGAACTTCTCTGGAGTTTTTTCCCCCTCCTTTGATGGTACTTTGCTTGTATGGAGTGACCATTCAAAGTTACAATGGCACTGAAAAAAGTGATTTATGACCATTTTTCACACTTATGACTGTTGCAGCATCCCCACAGTCTTGAGAGGCCAAGCCAGGAGATGCATGCTTCGATGTGAGTGATATTGAGTTGGCCACCCCCAGCCAATAACATGACCACCAAGCCATGTCCACCCAGTCACATGACCACCAAGCCACGCCCATCACCTAAGCCATGCCCACAGACCTGGTTGTTAAAAATTTGAATCCAATCCCAGGAGTACCCCTTGTTTTTTGCAAGGTGAGGTAATGTGCTAGTAGTTGTTTTTTTTTTAAACATTTTCTCTATTACTCTGTGATTGTCTATGTATTCAGATATGTTCTGAAAATGTCTGTGGGATGTCTTTCCTTTCCCTTGGAATTTAATTGAAACTTGGAAACTTTTCAAAGCCTTTGTGCAGCTACATTTGGAATACTGTGTCCAGTTTTGGCCACCACAATATAAAAAAAAAGATGAGATTCTGGAAAGAGTACAGAGAACAGCAACAAAGATGATTAGAGGGTTGGAGGCTATGAAAAACAGTTGCGGGAATTGGGTATGTCTAGTCTAGTGAAAAGAAGGATAAAGGAAGAGATGATAGCATGTTCCAATATTTGAGGGACAGACACAAAGATGAGGGAAGGGCAAACTATTTTGCAACGCCCCTGAAGACAAGACAAGAAACAATGAAAACTAATCAAAGAGAGATCCAACCTAGAACTAAGGAGAGATTTCCTAACACTGAGAACAACCAACCAGTGGAATGACTCGCCTTCAGAAGTTGTGGGTGCCATATCCCTAGGGGGCTTTTAAGAAGAGAACTGGACAGTAATTTGTCTGAAATGGAATAGGGTCTCCTACTCATGCCGGGGGTTGAATTAGATCCAAGATCCCTTCCAACTATACTATTCTGTTAGGTTACTGAAGAGATACTTGAACAATGAAAGCTTTCAGCCCTTACAATTTATTTTTTGCAAGATTCCATAAAGGCTTCAGAACGTCATTTTGTTCCGATCCTTGGAAGCAATTGGATAAGTAAACGCCTCACCACAATAGAATTAAAAGAAAGACGTTCCCTTCTTGGCTTTGCTATCAAGATTTGAGCACCTGCAAATAGCAGCATTATATTTGTGGGTGGTGGTAACTGATACAAAAGTGCAACTTTCCAATGAGAATGCAAACATTTGCTTGTGCAGGGAATGTTCTCAACTGAGCAATCAAAATAGATGTACTTCTAGCAGGGATGGATTATTTGCCAAAAAATCAAAGAATATGTTGTTGACAGAAATTAAGCTTTTAAATATTTCCTGCATTTTGAAATCAGGCAGTGTGAATTAGGATCTTATGCAATAGACTGTAGAGTGCAGAAGCAACTTGGTAAATAGAGAATCAATTAATGTAGGGCATTAGAAGTCAGTTCTTAAACTTTGCTGGTCAGATGAGGACACAGTAACTGTGAAATAGACAAATACAGTCAAAAAACAGAAATCAACATTCTTTGGATTTCCCCCAACAACTCAGAAGCTCAGCTCGATAATGAATACTTCAGCTGCTCTTATCAACTAAGAGCATTTTTTTTAAAAAATAAAGTTTTATTTGGGTTTTCACACACAAAATACAAGTAAAACATCTTTTTTGAAAATAGCATGGTCCCAGGTTGAACTTCTTTATACAGACACAAAACTCAATTTCATGCTCCTTTTTGTATTCTATTCCATATCTTATACTATTTTACATTTTCTATATAGTTTTTCCCCTCTTTTAATTTTCTCCATTTTATTTTGATTATCTCATCTCAATTCAAATCATTATATTTATACTTTTGCCTGTTCTGTTTCAATTTCATATTATCTTTTCTCATTAAACAAATTTTCTCCTGTAGTTACTAATTGGAGTATGACACCTTTATATCTTTTCATTACATCCATTCAACTCTTATTTAAACTTCAATATATACCTTAAGTTTATGACCTTCAATATAATACATAATACATAACTTCCAATCGAATTCTGCTTGGTACATTCTTATAATACACACTATATTCTTTTAAAAAAAAAGAAAGAAAGATTGTAAATATATGTAATTATAAACCCTCATTCCATTCCAGTTCATCTTAACATCTTTAACATTTCTTTTCAATTAAATATCATACTTCCTTAAAAACACATATAATCTCCATAATTAATTTTCCATTATTTCTCTTCACATGTTTTATAAATCATTAAATATACCTTTTGTTACATTTATTTATTGACAAGCATTCCACTGAATTACGATAGCTATTTTATCAGACATTTTAATCATACATAGTTTCATATTTTCTAAAATTATTTCTATTTCTAATATAACCATACTATCTTATGTACTTTTGCAGAAACCCTTTTTCCATTAAATTTTCACCCATTATCTCTAAATAGACCCTGTTTCTCTATATTTTGCTTCTGTCCTTTATAACTTCTTTCCCTTTCTTTCTTCCTTCTCATCTTCTCCCTCCCCTTTTTACCCCCTTGTCTCTCTAGTTATAATTCTCTCTTCTGCATTTCCCTCTTCTGTTGCTTTCTGATTTTATACTTATTTTTCACTCTATTTGGGGGGGGGGGGGAGTTGTTTTTCCCAATCTTAAACTTTCCATTCTCTTTCCCCCCTTTCCTCTCTTTCCCCCATCTAAGATTACTTGTTCATTAAAGATGGCTTCTTCTTTGTCGCAATCTTCTTGTTCTGCAGGCATTTCTTGTTGTTTCTCATAATTCCAAATCTCCATTTCTAAAAACTGAAATATGAAGCCAAAAGAACCTCTCCCTTCTTGTGCATCTTCTTTGTACTTTTAAAGTTCCATTTTCAGTTCTTCTAAAAGTGGAGTCATTTTAAACAGTTTTAAACAACCACCTGATTGATTTTAGTCATTCAAAACAATAACCAAGAATCCAGAAATCATCAAGTAATCCAGATAGTCTCGAGTTATATCTTCTTATTTCTTTTTTGAGTTTCTCTTCCTGGGGTTTTTGTTGCGATATTTCAGTTAGAATGTATCTTTTGGAAGTCTTGTTGAGATTTTGCTATTAGTTCTTTTTAATTCCAGGCAGTCTCCTCCCTTCTAGATCCTACCCTTTTATTCTTTTTCTCTCCTTTCTTGTTTTCAAAAGCTTTTAATTATCCAGAAATCTTTATTATCCCTTTGACTTTTTATTTTCAGCATTAAATGCCTATTGATGTCAAAGTGGATTTTTTTTTCCAATTCCTGGCTTAAGTCTCTTAGCTGTCAGTATAGGAAAAGGAGAAAACCAAATCTTTCCCCTTTTCTCTCTCCTTCACAGCTTAAAAATCTTCTTAGGGAACAATGTTATTGTTTTTTAACAGTTTCAATTCCAGGGTACCTTATTTGTTGCTTTTGCTGTTTGACCTGGTCAACCAAAACTTTCTCTTCTTATCTTCCTCCTGCACATTCTTTTCCGGTCAAGTTCTTCTTTGTGGTGGCCATTTCTGACTACTGTTGCAACCGCCTTTGGGAAAGGGAGTAATGGCCAGCTGGGGAGGAGAGATGCAGCTCTCCTCAACACTGCTGGCAGTCTCTCCCCTCTTCACCACCTCTACGGGGTGGCTTAGTCCTGAAACCAGCCAGCTTGGGGTGCTCCAGCAGTGAGCACAGATTGAAGCCTCGCAGAGACAAGGTTTTGGTCTGTCACTGAAGAAACTCAAACCGGAAGTTTGTTCAACTAAGAGCATTTTTGAGTGCTTTATTCTATCAGTTTAATTCTTTCCAGAATTAAACTGAACTGAGACTGAGACTGAGAGCTATAGCTCATTTAGAAAAATCTTACTGTGGTGGTTAGCACATACTCTAGATCAGGGGTCTCCAACCTTGGCAACTTTAAAACTTGTGGACTTCAACTCCTAGAATTCCTTAGCCAGCTTTGCTGGCTGAAGAATTCTGGGAGTTGAAGTCCACAAGTCTAAAAGTTACCAAGGTTGGAGACCCCTGTTCTAGATTGTGATTGGCCAAGGAATTGCACATCTATTGTGCCATCAAAAGTTGCAAGATATTTCTACAAAGAAGTATTGTATTTTAAAATATTACAATCTATTAGTTTGATTTTGTTAATTAATGGAATTCTACATGCAGTGTTTCAACCCACTTAAAAAGGGTGTGCCTCCCATTATCCTTGGAATCATACTAAGTCAAAAATGTATCTGCCCTCTGGCACAGCAAAACTGTGTACGACTGCAAGTAAAGAAGTAAGAAATATGGTAGAAGTCAGAAAATTGCAATACTCCACCTTTTGTTTTGTGTAGGATTCACACTTTAGGCAAAGATTTGTGTGAACGTGGATCAGTGCTGGGCCATTAGTAGGTTTTTGACATCTAAAACAAACACCAGACTGGAATTTGTATTTGAATCACAACTGAGAATCAAACTAGAAATAATGATCATGGTAGTTTTTCTATCAGCTTTGCGGGTAGGGTCTGCCAGAAGCGTGTCGTAAATTGTAGCCCCTGATCTGATACCATGTGGTCTGGTAACCCATGCAACCAGAAAACATGGGAGATAAACAATTGAGCCAATGGAAGATCTGCAATGGAAGATCTTGGCCAATGGAAGATCTGCACATGGAATAAAGTGGGTCATTTTAGTCAACATATCCACCACCACCACAATGGTTGTGGCACCATTTGATGGTGATAACTCAATGATGAAATCCAATGAAACTGCCCCCCATGGTTGTTCTGGTGTGGGCAAGGGCTGCAAGAGATCAGGGGGTGCACCAGGAGCATACCACATATCATGCCACATATCATGTTTAAGTCTCGGCCACCAAAATGTCCTAGAGATAAGGTGTCCTAGAGATAAGGTGCAGTGTTTTGAACAGCCCAAAGTGTCCTGCCGCCGGACTATCATGACATTGACATAGGATAAGGCCACGAAGAGGACCTCCAGGCACATAAATGTGATCACGGAACCGCAACAGGTCCCCAATATATGCCCAAGGAGTCTCTTGTCTCCCATTCTCATCCAATTCTCGACGTCAAGCTGCCACAAATGGGTCCTGCCACTGCACCTCCTGAATCCTCACTCGAAGGTCCACAGGTTCCTCGGTGGCCGCAAACTGCTCCAATTGAATCACCATCCGGGGCAAGATTTTATCCTACTTTTGGGTATACTCAGGCTTCTGAGATAGGGCATCGGCATGTTGATTCCCCCCACTCAGAACATAGGTCACCCAGAAATCGAATCAAGCAAAGAATAAGGACCATCTCACCTGATGCTGTTTCAATGTCTGAGCTGTACTTAGGTGTTCCAAATTGCGATGATCCATCCGAACCTCAATTTGGTGATGAGCCCCCTCCAAGTGGTGCCACCATGTCTCAAAAGCGACCTTAACCGCCAATAGCTCCTTGTCCCAAATCATATAGTTGCGCTCTGGAGCCGACAACTTCCGGGAATAATAAGTGCACAGGAACAAGGTGCCTGTGGGAGCATAGGCCTGGAGGAACACCACACCAACAGCCACATTGGAAGCATCTGTTTCCACCACAAATGGCTGGCCTGGATCAGAGTGTTTGAGGATAGGCTCAGAAGCAAAGGTGACTTTCAACGCCTCGAAAGCTGCCTGCTCCTCAGCACCCCAATAGAACTTCTCTCCTTTCTCAAGCAGATTAGAAAAGGGAGCAATCAAGGAAGCAAAGCAGGGAATAAATGTGCAGTAGTAGTTCGCAAACCCCAACAGTCATTGCACATCCTTAACCCACTGTGGAGGTTCCCACTCCTTCAACGATTGAATCTTTTCCAGGTCCATTTCCACCCCAACAGGTGAAATACGATGTTCCAAGAAGTCAATCATGGTTTGTGCAAACTGACACTTCTCACGTTTAGCAAACAGGTGGTTATCACGCAAATGTTGCAACACCAGCCGCACATGCTGTCAATGTTCCTGCAGGGAGTCTGAATAAATCAAAATGTCATCTAAATAAATGACCATGAATTGATCCAACAAATCACAGAAAACTGTGCATGAAATGCATGAACACAGCTGGGGCCTTGGTTAATCCAAAAGGCATCACGGTATACTCAAAATACCCATACCTCGTCTGGAAAGCTGTTTTCCACTCGTCCCCTGCACGAATGCGAACCAGATTGTAAGCCCTAGGCAAGTCCAACTCCGTAAAGATCTTAGCTTGATGAAGCCGCTCAATCAATTCAGGGATGATGGGAAGTGGGTACTGATTCCACACTGTGGTTGCATTCAACTTGCGGTAATCACAACACAAACATAGCTCTCCCAATTTCTTTTTCACAAAAAGCACTGGTGCAGCCAATGGGGAGGTAGAAGGCCAGATAAACCCTTTCTGGAGGTTCTTGTCAATAAAATCCCGCAACACAGCCAACCCAGGTTCTGACAGGGAATATATCTGACCCACCAGCAATTTTGCATTGGGCAACAAGTCAATTGGACAGTCATATGCCTGATGCGGAGGAAACTGATCTGCCTCCTTCTCCCCAAACACATCAGCAAAGTCCACCAACTCTGCAGGCAGATCCAGGTCCACGGCATAGCCACATTCCCTGCACAGGAGTGCAAGCAATGGTTGGCACACTTCCTATCAAGGAACTAGACGACCAGCTCCAGACAACCAGACAATCTGTGGATTATGGTCCTGTAACCACTCCAAACCCAGCACCACCAGAAAATGAGGCACTGCAGCAACATAAAACATGGTTTCCTCCACATGCTACCCAGTACGCATGCAAAGGGGTTTGGTTGCAGCAACAACAGGTCCCGAATGAAGGGGCTGACCATCAATCCTCTCCATCATTACTGGTGGGGATACCTGTTGCTGAGGAATGAACCACTGCTTGACAAAATGAGCATCCATGAAATTGGCTGTGGCCCCTGAGTCAACCAAAGCTGGGATCTCCACCGCTCCCACACCAGGCACGAACACTTGCTGGCAGCACAAGATGCTTCACCAATAGCGACTGTGGTGGTGATGTCGAAGATGTCAAAGGTGGTGTGGGTGGCAATGTTGGTGAAGATGGCGGGCCTATGGACTTTACACCCCGACCTGCAGACCTCCATAGGCCAAGCGATGCTCGTTTCCCACCACCACAGGTGTCGCTGCTGTGGATGTCTTAACAGGACACTTGGCCACACAATGGCCTTGATTGCCACAATAGAGGCATAAACCATCACAATGATGTCTATTCTTTTCTACTTGAGTCAGGCAAGGGTGGCCAGCCCCCAACTGCATGGGTTCCTCCAAAGACACTTCCACCAAGGACACCATCTTGCTGGAAACAGATACAGTCTCTGTCTGTCATCGCACCCGTCGCTGCTAAAGTCTAGCATCAATACGAAGATACAAATGCATGAGCTCCTGAAGGGGGTGAGGGCATTCAGTGCGCGCCAACTCATCCAGGAGCTCCGACGACAAACCCTCCTGGAACTGGTCTAACAGTGCTGCCTCATTCCATTGTACATCCTGAGCATCCACCCAAAAACTAGCAATATAATCCATGAGTAAGCTATGCCCCTGCTTCAACTCTCTCAAACGTCTGTTTGCTGTTTGGCTTTGAACAGGGTCCTTAAACATGGCCTGAAACATGGCCTGGCAAAACTCAGCATAATTGTCCAACACCTGGTTGGGCTGGGTCAGCAGATGTGTTGCCCAACGTACTGCAGAGCCTGACAACAAACTAATCAAAACCCCCACCTTATCCCGGTCAGTGGCCGGGGAGCTTGCATTTGTGCCACCTGTGCAGTCAAAAGAGCCACTTGCTGGGTTAACTGGGCAATCTCTGCTCTGAGCTGATCCATGGTCACCCCACAAAAAGCAAAAGTAAGTTGAAGGGGTGGCAGGACTAAAAATGTGATGACCCGTAGTTTCTCAAAATAACCCAAAACATATATTAAAGTCCGGTAAGGCCTTCAACTTAACTTCACTGTTTTATTAGGCACAGTTTAAAGTCACAAAAGTAAATAACGAGGCAAACAGAAAAACCAAAACAAACCACACTGATGAGAGTTCCGAAGCAAGCCAAGATAACTAATCATAAACTCCAGTAAAATAACTGAGAAAAGTCCATGGGAAGAACGCCAGCAAAGGTAGACTTCTTTCAAGGTGAACACTAAATTGACTCCTGCAAATTCTAACTGTGCAGTTGCAAACTTATATACATAGCTCCCACCAGCAAGCCACAAGAAGGGTCATGGTAATCTCCTCTTGAGTAGACCTCACTTTTCCCTGATCCTCTCCTCCCTGCGTGCCCTAGGATGGATAGGGGATGGGCCTGGATCCTCCTCTGACTGCTCAGCCGGCCTCTGCCCTTCCCCAGCCTCCTCCACCACCTCTGGACCCACACTCCCACTCCCTGTTGGCTGTTCCTCCTCTTCCTCAGAGTCAGTCTCCACCAGGGGCATGACAGTTGTTAAGTGAATCACTGCAGTTGTTAAGGTAGTAACAGAGTTGTTAAGTGTATCCGGCTTCCCCATTGACTTGTCAGAAGGTTGCCAAAGATGATTTCCTGACCTTGGGACATTACAATCGTCATAAATAGGAGTCAGTTGCCAAGTGTCTGAATTTTTATCCTGTGACCACAGGAATGCTGCAATGATCTTAAGTGTGAAAAATGGTCATGTCACTTTTTTCAGTGCCATTGTAACTTCGAAAGGTCACTAAATGAACAGTTGTAAGGCAAGGACTATGCGTATATAAAATCTGAAACAAAATTGGACACTGTTTTTGCCCGGATGCAGCAGGTGGCGAAAGAAGATACATTGAATACCCAGCTGGATTAAGTTTCTTGAATAGGTTATTGAAAAGATATGAGGAATGAATAATATTAGAGGCAGATAAAATGAAGATCTATGTCAGGGGTCTTCAAACTTGTCAGCTTTAAGACTTGTGGATTTCAACTCCCAGAATTCCTCCTCCGGTCATGTTAGTTCAGGAATTCTGGGAGTTGAAATCCACAAGTCTTAAACTTGCCAAGTTTGAAGACCCTTGATCTATGTCACTTTTCTTCAGCTGTTAGAAAGCCCATAGATCAGGGGTGTTAAACTCGCATTGTTACGGCGGTGTCACATGACATATTGGGACTTTTTCCCCCCTTTGCTAAACTGGGCGTGGACATGGCCAGCATGTCATACATCTGGCCCACAGGCTGCAAGTTTGACAGTTCTGCCATAGATCACATCAGATGAACTCTGAAACTGGCTTAGGTGGAAACACCATGCAGGGATCCCACCCTGCAGGCTTTCTCTCAGGGATGAACTTGTCTGTCTGTTCTTCTGGATTACTCACATCTGCTGCCTTGAAAAAATTGATTCCCAGCAGCTGGCACATGCCTCAGACATTCCATCACACATGGATGAAAAGAAGTCCACCTAACTGTACGAGTCAACCCCCTGCTCTGGATGGCTAAACTTGGATTCGAAGATCTGAAATCCTGATAGGCCGAACTAATTCATGAAGAGTCTGGAAGAAACTCTGACATTATGCTGTGCTGATTATCATGTCCCCAAAAAGCAAAGGCAGCAGAAATAAGATTCAAGACATCAAGTAGATACACTTAACTAATTCTTACAGTCTGTATGAATTTACTACCTTTTAAAAAAAGAGGAGGGAGGAACTGTGCACATAGAAAATCAGTACACCTCACTTTTTTTTCTACAATTCCACTTACAAAGATGGAGAGGTAAACAGAAATATAAAATACATATACAGAATGCTTTTTAGTGCAAAAGACTGTTTTTAAGAAAATCAATCGAAGGCTTATCTGTCTTGTATATCATGGCACATAGCAAGGTCACATATCTTAAAGGTGGAAGATTTTTTTTTTTTTTAAAAAGAAACAGAATCAACTATTGCATCGAAGATCACACCATAGTTTTAGGCTAATCAAAGGGATAAATATGAGGTAGAGAAAAGGTGAAACTCTAATCTGAAACCCAGGTTACACGAACACTTGATGAAGATGAGTGAATAAAGCATGTGTGTAGTTTGCTTCTATGGACATAAGGTCAATCTTTAAAAGTTTCAGAAGTTGCTGTTAGGTTCATTCTGGAGATAGTAACAAATCTGTGCTACCTTCATGGGTGGAACATTGATAATGGTACTATAAGCATACCATAATTTAGATCACAATAACTAAAATAAACACCATTTATGAGAGAATTCAAAGAATATGTTCTTAGAATGCAGCAAAAGCAAATATAAAACTGAGTCGTGCAAATGAGAATTCGGCGTATTTTGTTTCTTGTTTATTAAGAGGTACACCCATGCAGTTTTTACTTAAAACAGTTTAGTTGGTAATTAAATGGCTCAGAAGTGCAGCATATCCTCTGCGTATTATTATTTTTTTTCACACAAAGTGAAAGTTTGGAAGAATAATGGAATGGGATACATCCAAGCATTAGTTGCTCCTTTGAAGCTCCTTTAAAATAATTCAGGAATAATTCAGGATCCAGAACTGATTCAAGAAAATTGCATTCATACTGCTTAGCAGTAATATCAGGCATCTGCTGTTATGGGGGAAGAATTCTGAAAGACAAGATGATTGGCCACAACTGTGTGACTAAAACTGCCACCTTAACTTTTTTTGACCTTTATCAGACCTGGTGCATTTGAATACTACAAAACCAACGTTTGTTGGGCTTCTTGTATAGAAGCAAGCATTTTTATCTATCCTTGAGCAATGGTATAGTTATTTTTTTTATCAGAAGGCTTTATTTATTTATTTTGTTTTGTTTGTCAAGCATGTATGAGGAAAAAAGTATTGAAGGATGTGGACCAAAAAAATATTACTTTGAATTCTTTTAAATAATTTATAGTATGTATAACAAGGGGGGGTTGCATTTGGTTCCACCAAGAACACTGGATAAAATTGCAAGTGGGACCAAGAAATTGCGAAATTAAATTTTTAATGGATACTGGGGCATCCTGGACATCTTGAAGCACAATCCCTCTGGGATGCCACATTAGCCAGAATTCGAATTTCAAAATCAAGAAATAAAAATCAACCCATGCCATATCAAATTTAAAATTATAGTATGTAGAGAGAGAGAGAGATCAAATATCTTGGACACTTGATTAGTGAAGGGAGTAGAAAAACAACTCCTGCTAGATTTGAGGAACTAAGAGAGACGAGAAAGTTTTAGGGACTGTTAGGCAATTGTCAAAAAATTGAAAACAGCACTTAAAACAACTCCAGTTCTCTCACTACCTGATTGGAAAAAAAAACCCCTTTCCACTTATTTGTAACAGTCTGTGATGGAATAACAAAAAGGGTTCTTAGCTCAAAAATGGGGAAGTCTCTTAAAACCAGTAGCCTTCCTATCCAAATTAATGGACCCTGTAATACTGGGGTAGCCGGTATGTATTCAAGCTATAGTTGCCACAGCTCTCTTAGTACAAGAAAGAAGAAACCTCACATTTGGGGAGGGGGCTTTGGTGGTTACAACCCAACATCAGATCAGGAACATCCTGCCTCAACGAGCTCAGAGATGGTTAACCAATTCTTCCTTTCTTAGCCAATTACAGACAACATAGCCTGTGCTCTGTTTAAACTTAGCTGCATCATGTCCAATGTGCTCAGATTCCACAAGAAGATCACATTTATAATGTCACTCCATCCAATAAATCTCTGGGTCTTTTAAAAGCAATTCCTATAAACTACTTTTGGGAAAGAGGCCCTAGAATATGATCTGTTTTATCTAACCCAGAATAGAAGCAGTCACTCCTTAAAAATAGGCAGAGCCCCAGCAACATGCTTTAGTCAGTTATGTTGGAGCTAATTTTTCAAGCTTTGCATCTAAAATATTTAGATTTTATTTTGTTGGCAGCTTATTTTTAGCTATATTTGCTTCAGCTGTTCAATAGCATATACCTTTGTTGTTCTTATAACGGTATATTTTTGTGTGCTGCCAATTAAAAAGTTAATCACCTCTATAAATTGACTTATGGTTGAGTGCATACTGTAAGAAAATTTTCATTTCAAATTTATACTCTGAAAATGTACCAGTATATTTTAATTATTTCCATTGCAGTATTGTCTTGAAAGTTCCTACTCTATATTATAAAATGAAAAATTTGATCTGTGGAGTTTCTGCTACTAGAGCCTTTCCTACTAGCTAGAGACTAGCTGCCTGTCTTCTGTGTGCAAATGTTATGGAATTGAAGCCAGTTTAATACTTTTAAATTGTACAGTTTAAAGCTTTGTCCTTTTAGCACAGTTTAGTCCTTCTAATAATTTTTGCAGTTTTCAATTTAAGAAATGCAAGAATAAATGCACACAACAGAGCAGCTTGCTACAAGAATCACTCTCTCTAAATGAAAACCCCAAAAGTTGAAAATTGAAAAGTTACACTGGAGCATATTTTCTGCTACAGAGTGGCACTGACATATTGACATCACTAATAAAAACCGGTATCTACATTTTTCTTGTTCATAGGAATGGGTGAGCACATCAGTTTCCAATTTGGTGTGTGTGTGTGTCAATGTTTTGTTGATATAAGAACTTCTAAAGAGGCCTTAGGAGTATCTGCCTATCTTATCTTTCTTTTCAAAGGGATATTTCTTGCCTTTAATTCAGGAAAAAGGGAGGTTATTTGCAGCCAGTTTGTAGAACATAGGAGAACAGACGCCTATATCACAGGATATCACAAGTAAAATTCTGTTTACAGGAATTTGAGGATTGTATAAGCTAAACATTAAACATGCAAATGATGACACTATTTAATTATCCATTGAAACATAGTAGTAATTTCAGTAGTAACTGAAATTAAATGCCATAGGCCAGCCTATTATTTGTCTGCTGTAGTTAATGATAAGTTCACCTTCCAATGAACACTTTTGCCAAGGGTGATATTAAGTAAGGCTGATTTCAGTTGGAAAGAATTCAAATTGTGCAAGAGACAGTTAGGATTGGCGGTTAAAGCAACAGGCTAGAAAGCAGGGGTTATGAGTTCTAGTCCCGCTTTAGCCATGAATGCCAGCTGGGTGACCTTGGGCCAGTCACTCTCTCTCAGCCCAATTCACCTCACAGGGTGGGGAAAAAAGGGAGGAAGGTGCATTGGATATGTTTGTTGCCTTGAGATATTTGTAAAAATAATAAATGTGACATATAAATAAATAAAAATGAAAAGATGATGGAACAATATTAGAGCAAGACTGCATTTTTTTCTTGCAGCTAAATACTAAGAGCAACATCAATCATACTATATGTGTTTCAGGTGCTGTTTCAATCAGTACACCAATTACAAAAGCATGGTATTCAGTACAGGTTTAAGTACCCAAATACTGTGTACATGTGTTCACAGGCACACACGAGAAAGCTATAAAGCACCAGTACCAATCCAAATGATAATAGATTTAATTCGCACAAGCTTTTTTTTAAACAAATCTGAAATTATTTGATACACTTCTTTTAGCTTCTCTCTCTAATCTTATTGCAATTATTTTGACTTCCCTCAAGCCCAAGTCCAAAACCTCCCTTGCGCTGTAAGCCAGAGTCAGCATACAGAAGCCTAAGCTTTTCAATAAAACATGTTGATAGAAAATGTCCCGATAGATCCTGAATGCTCAGAAAACAATGCCTTAAGTGTATAGGAGAAAGGAGAACTGACTTTGAATTTTTTTTAAGTGAATAAAAGTTTATGTAGAGCAATCAATTGTGGAAAATACTCTTCTACCCAGGAATCTTATTTTGACATAAAACACGTGAAATTAAATCCTGAATGTATGTTCTAATAGCTGAGATTCGGATGCATAAAATCCTTTTTCAAGGGTTAATTGTTCAATCAGAAAAAGGGTAGGATATCATTTCTGGCTTAAACAGCTGATCAGCAAGGCTTTTCATTTAGGTAATAATTATATTAGAGGCACGCCATTTTGGATCAGGCCAATTGTTTCTACAATGCATTGCAAAACACGACATTTCAAAAAAGAACATCAAGGATACAGGACTACTATGATTGTGCAGAAAATGACAATATTTCCACATGTATTTATTGAGAAATACTAAAGATATACACATTTTGTACAAGCTTTCAATATTAATTTACAATTTCTTAAATAATATTATCCCTAGATAAAATCATGATTTACATTACACAGGTCCTTGGCTTTAAAAGTTCCATAAGGCTGCTATTGCTGGGCATTCAAATGCAATATTGGCTCATGTCAGTTATGCTTCACGCTAAAGTACTAAATACCGCATTGATTCAAGCATTTAAATGTGGCTCCAACCTTCCTCCCCGGAATCCAAAATGAAAATCATATCTAAAATCAAAAAGGACACAGCCCCATATTTTTCAACATGAAGAAAGATTTAGATTGGGTTCTGTGGCTCAACCTATTTGAAGAGCAAATTTACCTTGAATTACTACTCTTTTTAAATTTATGTTTGGTTTATAATATTTGAGTTGGCCCTAATTAAGATGTTACCCTATTAAAAAATTTGCCAACCTATTTTACTTATTTAAATCTGCTCCAATTGCCATTATTTGGGAAGTATGACTAAAACTATTACAAAAAAAATTTCTCCACACAACTGGATGCAGACAATGGAAAGCCATGGATAGGTCTGTCATGGCAAGGAACAGTTGATGCACTATGCCAAAGACTAATGAAAAGGAGAGAAAGGAAGACATGTTAAGTCCTAAAGGAAGAGACTGTGTGGAAAAATGTAGAAAACTGTCTACATACTTCATTTTCCCATCTCCCTATAGTAGTTTATTGATTTGAACCCTCTATTCCAGGGCTCCCCAAACTTGGCAACTTTAAGACTTTAAGCATATGCTGGCTGAGGAATTCTGGGATTGAAGTCCACAAGTCTTAAAGTTGCCAAGTTTGGAGATCTCTGCTCTATCCATTATTATTTTGTACTTTTCTTAAACTAAATTGTGCTGTTCCTCTATCTCAAGCCCTATATTTAAAGTGCTTCATATTTAAGTGCCATTTCTGTTCAAATTGGTACAGCAATTGCAAAGCATAATCTTCAGAATATACTGGTTTAAGTGCACAACTATTTAACAAACATTGTGTATGTGTGCATATGCATAGGTAGATGCAAGAGAAAAAGCTATAAAAATACCAGTGGCAATGCAAATTTATATGTGTGTGTGTGTGTGTGTGTACACACACAATTATTTTAACCTTTCTCAAATGCCAAAATCAGGTCAATTTAATTTGCCTCAAATTTTAATTCAGCAGCAGTGTCCTGTTTTTCTCCATTATCATTTTTTTAAGGAATCACTTAAAAGGTCAGTATTTGACACAGCTTATTTCTGCATCTAAAAGTTTGGCAATTCTGATCCTTGCTATTATGCATTTCATAATTTTTTTCAAAACATTAATGGATACAATAATAGCGGAGCAATGTTTAGCAAACTCAAACGTAAAGCAGAATAAACAAAGGTGATTGTGTCAATTGAAAACATTGCAATATCTCAACGGTACATCATTGCCAATTAAACCTGTACTAAATAATAGTGTTATTCTGTTATTTTGATAAAACAGCTTCCATTTACATTTTTATAGAATATCTTGAAACTATTGAGAAACACTTTTTATAAGAAGTTTGATTTTATAGCGAGATTAAAAATACACATTGTTCAATGATTCATAGGTATTTTTTATTATAATCTGAGACCAGAGATAAGAGTTTATGAATTTTCACCTTAACAAACTAAAATATATGACAAGTATAAAGTTGGTTGGATGGCTTGCAGATGTTATGAACATTTTATGGACATTTTTTACCTATTTATTTCTAAATATCCAAAGATGGCCAAAAAACATTTCTATATTGACAAGCTGATACAATAATTTTCAGTGGGGCTTTGGGCAAATAAAACAAGTTTAAAATAATAAGTTTGAAAAAAATAAAATGTTTGCTGCGTTAAAAATAATCACAAGTGAAATTGTGAGGAATACCATCTCTAAGCTCTTTTAAACTAGAATGAATTTTATTAATGTGGAGGATAGCATAGAAAAGAAATTCACTTCAACTGATAATAGGTTTTATATTCATATTGAAGACCAATTCATACCTGAACACTATTATTTTGTGCATTCCCAAGATATAAATGTTAAGTATCTTAGTCTTAGTACTCATCAAAGGATCTTACCTTCGAAAAAAATGAACATTTCACTCCAGAGTGCATTTTGTATTCTGTAAGGCAAAAACGGCACCTGTGTTTTCCATTATTAAGTCTCTGAATTTTGCAACGATTTTCACTCGGTCAATAATGGTACAGATAGACCTAGCTTACCAACTTCCTTGCAGTGATTGCTCAATGTTATGACAGCCAGAAAAATTTATGACTGTACTTCATATTTGCGGCTGTTGCAGCATTCCCGTGTTACTAGAGTGTAATTTGGGCACTTGGCAACAATTGTACATTTGCAATGGTCATGTGATCACTATTTGTGGATTTAACAGCTGGCTTTTAACAAATCAATGGGGAAGCTGGCTGATAGCTGAAAGTCGTTGTCGCACGTAATGTTTGCGGGGACTTGCTTAATGACCACAATTCATTTATGAAGTTGGGCACAATCATGATGCTTCACTCTACAACTAAGTGGTTTGGATTCAGAGCTTCCACCACATATAATTGTGATTGGTAAATAAGAACTACCAGTGTAGATCCACTGTCCTATCACACAAATGGTTACAGAAAAATGTGGTAACAAGCAGGGGTGGGATTCAATTTTTTAAGAACCGGTTCTGTGGGCATGGCTTAGGTGGTAGGCGTGGATTGGTGGTCATGTGACTGGGTGGACATGGCTTGATGGTCATGTTATTGGCTGGGCATGGCCAACTCAATATTACTCACATCGAGGCACTCATCTCCTCGCCTGGCCTCTCATGACTGTGGGGATGCTGCAACAGTCGTAAGTGTGAAAAATCAGTGCCATTTTCAGTGCCATTGTAACTTTGAATGGTCACTCCACACAAGCAAAGTACCAGCAAAGGAGGGGAAAAACTCCAGAGAAGTTCCTGAGACAGGAAGTCTAGATAATGCAATAAGGGTTAACGGAGAGGCAGTTTCTGTAAGCAACACCAGAATGTTTCCTTCCTGCCTTCCTTACAGGATTAGGTCAGTAATTTCTTCAAAAAACCGGTTCTCCAAACTGCTTAGAATGTTAATAACTGGTTCTACCGAATAGGTACGAACTGGTAGAATCCCACCCCTGGTAACAAAGGGCCAATTCATCTTGCAGGTTCTCAGTTTTATCTTCCTTCGTTTTCTTACGTTTGCTCAAGGTGTTTCAGATTTTCTAAACTCTTGTGGTCGTGGTTTTATAACTTGATATGCTACCACAGCTAATTATTTGGAAGCCCATTCTTTTTGTCCCATATCCAACTGATCGTCAGCCACGTGTGCAAAGCATAACAGCCATTAATTACATCAAGAGGCTGCTCCCTGTTCTGAAATCCTACCCAGTCTCATTCCTTTCCCCTGCTCCCACAAGGCTTGCCCATAAAATATACATCACTAGAAAAATCACACAATCACTGAATTGAAATTAACAAGTTGTGGCAACTACTGTAGAGAGGAGAGAATCTGGCCCTAAGAAAGGTGTACAAGGCAGTTAAGAAGAAAATATCACAAAATGGACTTTAAAAACAAAATCAGTACAGGTAGTCCTCGACTTACAACCACAATAGAGCCCAAAATTTCTGTTGCAGAGACATTTGTTAAGTGAGTTTTGCCCCATTTTATCACCTTTTTTTTGCCACAGTTGTTAAGTGAATCATTGCGGTTGTTACTTTAGTAATACGGTCATTAAGTGAACCTGGCATCTCCGTTGACTTTTCTTGTCAGAAGGTTGCCAAAGGGGATCACAGGACCCTGGGATACTGCAACCATCATAAATGAGTCCATCTGTCAAGCATCTGAATTTTGATCATGTGATCACGGGGATGCTACAATAGTCGTAAGTGTGAAAAACAGTCATAAATCACTTTTTCCAGTGCTATTGTCACTTTGAACGGCCACTAAATGAACTGTTGTAAGTCAAGGACTATCTGTAAAACCAATCATTAAACTAAACCGAGTGGAGTTACAACTATCTATCTCATATTAGAAGTCCTTAGAAATGAGAAGGAACGAAAGTACTCTTGTTGCCCACCTCAAAGTCACAGCTTGTTTAAATCCTTGGGGAGGGGTAGGATTCTAAAGTAGGGTGGGGTCTTGCCACTGCCCACCTCCTTTGTAACAAATGATTTGTACACTATTATTACGCAAACACGAGATCAAAATAATATGCAGGACTTGAATTTACACATTCAAATAAGCGATAATATGACTGTTTGATTTTGACATCATATATTGTATGAATCAAACCAACTCTGGTTTATTCAAGAATCCATAATATAGTGCAATGTTAGAAAAACCATTGCTGCAAATAAATGTAAGCATAGTCAATATGCACAGGAAAAACTATGCCTATTGCATAGAGAGGAACGGAGCATTCCAACTGAAATTCATGCTGACCTACAGCTACAAAATCAGTTATGAAGGATTTAAGTGCTGGTAGAAACTCATGAACTGAAAGGATCTTTTTGAATGGACCACATAATAGGCAATTTATAGATTGCATTTTACTTTACTTGACAATTTTAGGAGAAACATTATGGTTCATCTAGTGATCTTTTTGTATATCTACTTGTTTTTTGTTGCACACATAGTCAACAATTCCTTTTCTTTTTTTTTAAATTTTGCTGTTTTCTTTTACTTAAACTTTCCTCATTCAGCCATGTTTATATGTACCTTACTGAATGTTAAGTATACTACATTATAATTTGATACCAGGTCAATAGGTAAGAGTAGGGTGGTTTTTTTGCACATATACCATAAATTAAACTCATTGCAGCACAAGTTAATTTTTTTTAAACACAAAAATTAAGGAAAAATTGTCAAATAATTTGTCATGTCAACTATTTTCTCACAATACCGAATATTCCAACCTTTTGACATTTTTTTGAAAAAAAATATTTGCATACAATCAGTGGAATTATTAAGAATCTAAATAAAAACACTAACTTTCAGTTATATATTTTTTCTCTTACTGCAACAAACACTTAAAACTGCTTTTATGCAGTACTGATTAATTGAATTTGAAATTTGGTCATGTCAAAAATTATCACAAAGATTTATCTTTTTATCTACATAATTTTAAACCAATGTTACACTGTAACACACAAACAAGGTCTTGTCATTTAAGGCACAACACATCAACATTCTGTCTGCCAAGTTTATAAAAGAGACAATTATTATTATATACCCCCTTCCCACACACCTCCAAAACAAAACAAAACAATATAATAAATTGCATCCACCTCCAAAGTCAGTTGCTAATGTCACAGTAAATTATTTTCACTAATAATTTACACCTATTATGGATTGAGACAGGACTGCCATTGTATAGTCCAAGTGCATCCCAATTCTCTGGGTCAGGTAGGTAGCCTAAAGTTTGATTCAAACCTCCGTGCTGAGAATATATCCCATTGTGAGGAATGTTGTTGAATACCACCCTTGTCATTCACAAAATGCATTCATTCTTCTCCTTCTCCTTGTCTATTGCAAACCTTGTTCACTCTGGCTAGGGCTCATTTGGTGTGGACCAGCAATCATTTTGCTAGTTTTTTTAATCATCAAAATGCTGAATATATAAGACCATGGACAGAATCCTTATGTCATATTAAAACGTGTGTCTTCATTCGACGATTTGAATTCTTTGCAATGGAATCCATATATTGCTCTTTCTTTTTAAGACGATAATATGTGTAAAGCCAGAGGCACCATATCCAAAGTTAAAAAAAAATCAGTGTACTTTGAAATATGTATAAAAAAAAGAACAGTTACAAATATTCTAATTCCAGCGCTTGATGTAGAGCCAGGAGGTCGGAGTGACTAGATATTCTCCAGAAGGGCATGTTATGCTGCATTAGTTAGGGGGGAGAGAGAGAAGGCAAGAAGAATGAACAATATATCTATTATACATCCCATATTTTTTTTAATATATTATGATTATCCTGATTTTTCTTAGTAAGGTACAGACAAGAAAATAAAACAAAGCAAATGTCCAAATAGATCTGAAAAAATATACAAAAAGCTATGTAAGTACCTTAATAAATTCAACTTTTTTTTTATCCTGTTCAATTTTATCTGTTTCTCACAGATTACTTAAATCAGCCCTTGTAGTTTTCTTGGCTTGGCAAAGTTTTTCAAAATGGTTTGTCATTGCCTCCTTCCTAGGGCAGGGAGAAAATGACTAGCCCAAGGTCACCCAGCTGGGCTTCGTGCCTAAGCTGGGGACTACAACTCAAAGTCTCCCAGTTTCTAGCTTGATGCCTTAACTACTATACCAAACCGTTACTTCAACTTTATTTATCAAGCATATGTTAGGAATAATATTGTTTATATTTCAAAGAAGTAAATTTAGTAAATCAAGAATGTAATAATCTTCATTACAAAATGTATTTTGTATAATACAGGGGGAATCCATGATGTATAAAATATTAATGACTTTTGCTTAGTTTTAATTTACAACTATCATGCCTTGTGATTTCTTCAGAAAGTACAATTCTTGAGAATAAGCAGGCAAATGAATGTACCACACGTTTAATTTTAGTGCTTACTTTCAATTTAACCTTTACAATACAGCAGGTTTCTGTCAGTGATTGCCCATAATATATCTCCAAATTGAACCTATACTTCTGTCTACACGGGAGATACAAAAAACCCCTATGTTGGTTATAGATGGAATTAAATAACTGTCATGTATGAAACTTTCCTTGAAAGCAACATAGTCACTTAGACTGTATTATTCAACAATCAAAACTTCTACTATGATTACCTTGTATAACTCTGACTTCAGTGAATTTAGGAAAGTAAACTCTTATAAGGAGTTTTTCTGCAATTAAAAACATTGCAAAAGATCACGAGCATGTGTGATATGCATTTTAATAACTTTATTTTTACTGACTGCAGATCTATTTGAATAATTTGCCTTTTTTTAAAAAAAATCTACAAATGTTCATGCACAGAACAGGTAGAGTTAGAGGAAAGCATGCCAACTCTAAAATAATCAATCACCCAGTTTCCTAAATAGGCTACTAGACAACCTCAACACTGTATTGCATCTATAAGGCAACCATTTGGAACCAGCACTGGATCTAAAGTTGCTAAATGAAAACCAGGAAATAATATCTATTATAAATCTCATTTATGTTCTCCAATTCTAAGATTGCTCTAGATCAGGTGTGTCTATCCTGCAGTCCTGGACAGCTAGTAATGCAGCCCCACAAGATCATAAACGTTTAACATTACTATGTGACTGATATACATTAACTATATTATATATTTTATATGCAGTCCAAGACAAGTCCTTTTCATTTAGGGTGGCCCAGGCCAAAAGGTTTGGGCACTCATGCTCTAGGTACAGTATATCTGAATGTATATGCTTTCTTCACTTTGCTAATATTTATTCTGAAGTACCGTAGGAAGTGTGTTGAAGTATAGTAGACTTCCTGCTAGATTTCTTTAAGGACAATGTTTACTGGGCACTTATACGATCATAAATTACTTTAATAATCAAGTATACAGTGCTGAAATCTTCTATATGACTGTTCTACGTTGAACACGCAGTGTTCAAAGATCAAATATTCAATTTAATAGAAATCACAGCTCTCTAAATGTAAATGAGGAATAGATACAGCTGTGCCTGTCTCAAGAATGAAATACATTCAAATTTTTATTCTTAAAATATATTTATAGCTTACACTCTGAAATAAGTAGCTTTTGGCATATTATTCCCTTTTCAGATGTGTTAGAAGATCAATGTGCTTTTTCCATTAAATGACACAAAATACACTTTTCTGGGCCTTGCAAATCCATGTAATATGTTTAATTTGCTTACAGTTAGTTTTTTTAAAAAAGATCTATAATCAGTATATATTTTATTTAATTTCCATATCTTGCCCATCCTGATAAAACCTGTGCTTGAATCCAAATGGTTTGGTTATGTCTTATTCTTATGATCTTGGTATATGAAATAATTTGACAATGTGCCATATTAACAGAAATGCAAACAAAATAAGCTTGCGTAAATATCTATAGAACACACCAACATTTCAGGAAACAAGTTACCTTTTTTGCTGCCTGTTCTTCTTCTACACCATCCCCAATTACAACATATACTACTTTTCTGCCAAACCTTTGCATTATTCGTTCAAAGCAACTTTCTTTTCCTGGAAGATAAATGAGATAAGTGTTCAGAGAGAAGTTACCTGGTTAGCTGCATGCTCTTCATCTCGGCCATCTCCAATCACAACATAAGTTATGTTAGTGCCAAACCTGGACACTACACGCTCAAAACAGCTTTCTTTTCCTGAAAAATAATACACTATTTATTTGAGCTCTCAAAAAAGAAACATCACAGTGATCTCTAAAAATGCTAAGGGATACATTATATGTATACAAAATATCATACACTAGCAATAGCAATAGCACTTAGATTTATATACTGCTTTATAGTGCTTTACAGCCCTCTCTAAGTGGTTTTACAATCAGCATATTGCCCCCAACAATCTGGGTCCTCATTTTACCGACCTTGGAAGAATGGAAGTCTGAGTCAACCTTGAGCCTGGTAGGATTTGAATTGCCAAATTGCAGGCAGCTGATAGTCAGCAGAAGTGGCCTGCAGTATAGCACTCTAAACACTGTGCCACTGAGGCTCCAGAAAGCCTTTCATAGTATTGGTGCTATAAAAATTTATTTTCTGCCACAGCTCAGTGGAAACTCATGCACCCTAATAATTGGTATGGTAAGACAACATACAAGGTGTCCAGTTGAGAACTCTAACAAAGCAAATAATTTGTTTTATTCCTCTGGACATAAATTTCTGCTTTAATCTGGGTATCTCAAAACCTGTGCTTGTTTTCTTAGAGTAACCTTTTTATTTTCAAAGTTTAACATTTTTAAGTTCAATAAATTTTCCATCCTGGGAGAAGGCCAACTGTTTCTGAATAAGGAAGTTGTGAGTCAATGAAGCATGCAAAGCATTTTTTTAAAAAGGTGTACCACAATACGCAGGTGTATGAAGAAACATGTCTCTTCAAATCATCAAAGCAGCTGTATATTTGTACAGTTGCTTTGAAAGCCATTCAAACATGCAGTCACTTTGCTTCAGAAATAGCTGTGCCTTGCAAAAAACAGAGCTTATTTTAATGAGAACACATGTTTGTAAAGTACCTCTTTCAAATGATTGAACAACCTTACTAATGATAATAATATGGTTGGTACATCCAAAGGTAGGGGTGTGTGTGTGTGTGTGTGTGTGTGTGTGTGTGTGTAACTAGGAATCTCACTCTAGTTATCTGCCTCTTTATACATAGTTTTTACATACAATTCTTACAAGTGAAGACATTTCTTAACTAACTGTCATTAATAGATTAGAAGACATTTGGAAACAATCAGCAAATTATGTAAATTGAAAAGAATTGAGATACGTACCTATTTTAGTTGCACTGTAAATATTTTCAATAGGAAAAACACCTCCTAAACTATACAGAAGCACTTTTGCTAGGGCTGGTACAAGTTGAGTTGTTGTTACCAAGACATTTACACAGTTACTCCTATAGAGAAAGATAAGAGTATACATCTGCATAACAAATTAGCTATAGATCAGCCATCAGTTACTACTTCAATTATTATTGCAGTAATAATAAATATTGCAATATTCTGCATGTTGCAAATTTTGTCATTGTGATGATCCATACATACACACCTTCAACTAAGTTTCTAAATTCATAGAATATGAACTACTTTATGAATGGAAAAACAGCCTTTTTGTCTGAGATATCATTTTCATTTATCACTTTTTGAACTTACACATAAATCATCATAATTTTACAGGCTATACAATTTATACAGTATGATAGCTAGATGGGCAAATAGCCTGGCTTGCTGTAGAGCAGTTCCCTGTACAGTCGTTCTTGATTTACTGCAGCAAAATTTGGAGACCAGAATTTTCATTGCTAAGTAATGTAGTTGGTAGGGGGTCCCCAAATCTGTGGGTCAGGGAGACAGTAGTGCAGTTGTGGAAAGTGTATGAGGATGTGTGTGAGAGGCACAGCACAAGTGCAGAGGGATTTGGAAAAAGCAGGCAGGTGGTGGAAACTTATTCCCGTGATATGCGACCTTTCCTGCTGACTTCCCAAATCACTTCCTGGGGAAGCCAATAGGAAAGGTTGCAAGTAGCAATCATATGATCATTAGGCACTGTAACCAGTCAGAAATATGATCCACTTGCCAAGCTTCTGGATCACAATCATGTATTTCCTGGGGTGCTGGTATGAAACTCTGAGGAATAGTTATAATTATACTTATATAATTATAATGGTCACTGAACAAAAATCCAACTATCCCTTATATAATGCAAAGGTGATATTCTAAGTAGAACATTAGGTTGGGAACTACCTCAATGCCCAGTGTTCTACTTACAATGTCACATCCCTCTCACCCTTCTAATCTATTTTCAAGGGGCAACCATGCTTCCACACCAAGTATGGTGTTGCAGTAATCCTCTATTTTTATTTTCTAAGAATGCCCATTCCTGTTAATAAAGAGAATACTATCTGCTAGCATTTTATCATCCATTTATTTTTGATTAAAACAGAAATAAAAAACGCCGTCAAAAAATACAGGAAACCTAATGGGTGTGCAGAACATATCTACAGGAAATTGAGCGCCTATAAGCATCTTGTTGTCTGCTCTTGCCTTTAATACTGTTTTGCTTCTGCAATATAGCAAATTTGTTTTTTTTAAAATTAAGTTTGTACTCACCTTGTACTAATAATTGATAATGATTTAAGTGCATTGGTCAGCCAGGAGTCAGTGAGAGCCTCAATCTCTGCTCTTAACTGTAGCCATGCATCTCTTTTTGCAGGGCCAAGAAGTCCTGATTCATAAAGGAAAAGGTTCTTAAAAGTGCATTCTGTTTACCAGGAATTATAGTCCCATGTCAATTTAGGCCTACAACATATTTTTTTACAAAAATATTTCAGTTCACTTGTTTGTGAATAGAATAGAACAGAATAGAATAGAATAGAATAGAATAGAATAGAATAGAATAGAATACTTTATTGGCCAAGTGTGATTGGACAAACACAAAATTTGTCTTTGATGCATATTACTACTACTAAGTTACTTAATAATACATATTAAAGGTTATTTTGTTCCAGAAGCAGTTCAAAAGGTGATGATTCATTCATTCATTCATTCATTCATTCATTCATTCACTCACTCACTCACTCACTCACTCACTCACTCACTCACTGGCCACCCATCTTACCATAAAATCCTCTGCATGGCTTATAGTCATAAAATATATATATCTACGTTAAAACATAAATAAATTAAGAACTGAAGAAGCTTCTTGGATGAGAAGAGACACATCTTTAAGGAAAAACAAAGAAAGTCCAGTTGCCCTTTGAAAAAGCACCTTTGGGATAAACACTTAAAACCAAAGATTAAAATCAAAGGACATATGGGAAGGGTGGTAGCAGAGTGGGGGAAGGTGGGGTCTGTTGTTACTTGATCAACCACCTCCACTGTGCTGTTTCTCCATTGGGGGCCCAGGTCAACTGGCAGAGCCAGGTGTTTAGGGCCTTACAAAGGATAGGAGGGCTGGGGCTAGCGTCACATCATAGGGAAAGATGTTCCATGCACTAGTTGGGGTAGGACATCAGGATAAAGCCGAGGCCACTGATGGCCCCTTTGGGAAGGCACGTGAATTGAAGGAAGACAGTGTTGTAGGAGGCTATCTTGAATGGGAAGCCAATCCTTGCTATTGAGATTAGGGCAGTTTGGAACAGGTACACAATCTGGCTGACTGAGGGGAAGGACAAAAGAAAAGGCCTTGGGAAGATCAAGGAATGGGCTAGCAGGTTGGCTGGGTTCAATTGTACTGAATGCCAAGGGAAGAAAGGAGAGAGAAGCTAATGAGAAAACTGGGTATGGATCAGCCTTGAGATATAACATGCAGGATTGATTGGCAGTGGTGCTAATAATGGTTGAAATGAGAAAGGGAAGATGCTGAAAAGTCATGAGCAAGGAGGCTGATAGGCTGTGTCATGCATGGATGTCAATAAGGGGTCCTTGTTGCTCTCTGAGCCTGGTTGTTTTCTTGCAGATGTTTCCTTAACAAACTAGGTAAGTACTAGAGAGTGGGTATTGTCAGTATTGATAGAAGTGGCCTTAGTGGTTCTTTCTTTGGGCTGTTTATTGTTAGCTTGTTTGGTTGCTCCTTGATTGGGATGTTGTTTGCTTCTTGACTGTTAGTCTAATGTTAATCTTAGTGTTAATCTCTGCTTATCTGGGTGATGAGCTTCATCTGGGTGATGATCATTTTGGATATCAATGATAATAGTGGCTAAAAGGAGAAACAGCAGGCCTTCAGAAGACAAGGGGCAAGAAAGCTAGTGAGATATCCCATGGTGGTCACAGTGATGAGATGAGAAAGGAAAAGAAAGCACTAGAGGATGAGGAGATAAGATGGACTGGTAAGGTATGCTACACTGGAGGAGCTGAGGAGATGGTAGTCCACCTTTATCCAATAATATCTATCCAATATTAATATTATCCAATAATATTATCCAATAATATCACTTCAATGAGTTGTCAAGGTTTGTTTCATTTGAAACTGAAATACCCCAAAACATAAAGGATTTTGGATTTGCTGAAAAGGGATTGTCTACTGGGTATAGAGATTTTCTAAAACTATGCATATTCTAAATGTGCCCTCTCCCTTTCTTCTCCTCTAATATCCCTTTTCTGCCTAAACTTAGATATTTTTAAATCAGAAAAAGAGTTGTGTCTGTTGTCTAATACAATGCCTATGCATAGCCGCAGCCTTGCTCTAAAATATGCCAAATTTAATTTCTTAAGGAAATGTGGATTTTGTCTTTCACAACCCTCTTGGTTGGGATCTGTGCTTAGTCTTGAACCCTGTGGCTGAGTTAAAACATGCATAACATATAAGTGACATCTAAAATATTATTACATTGGAGTGCATGTGAAGAATAATGCTTTTGAGTGCTACTCTACATTAATAATATAGGTAATCCTCATCTAGCATCCACAATTGGATCTGGCAACTTGAAGAAAATAAAGTGGTTGCTAAATGAAACTGTGATTGTACTTATGATCTTACTTCATCTTTCCTTTGCTTTACAGACCTGTGAAGGTCATACACACAAGGATTAGTCATAAAATTATGTTTTCTTCATTGACTTAACTGCAAATGGTCACTGTACAAAGCAGTCACAAAATGAGATACATCTGTAATGAAAATCCAGAATATACAAAGCTACAACATCAAGGAGAAAGCTATACTAGACCAATTTCTCTACAAAGATTCTCTTCAAAGGGACAGAGGACTGTTTTAACTTGGGATGAAAAGCTAAAAATGAGTATTTGTCACTTATGAACAAATGCAAGGAGAGCTGAAGAAACCGGCAATTTAAGCTCCAAACTTCATTCAGAATAGAGCTGAAGGTTATCTTGGAGGTCTTCTATTCCAACCTCCTGCTCAAGTACATATACAATTTGAGACAAATGACTGTCCAGTCTCTTCTTAGAAACCTCCAATGATGAAGATGCAGGCACTACTCAGGTGACACTGAGGACACCAATAAATCTCCAAGAGGCCTCAATGAGTCTATAAAAATGTAAATGACCAGCTATCTGCAAGGAATATAAATCCTTCCATTCCCCACCATCTAGTCAGAGCTGAAGAAGCTTACTGAATGAGAAGCAAAATGTCTTCAAAGAAAAACAAGAAAAGTCTAGTTGCCTCTTGAAAAAGCACCTTTGGGGCAACCATGATCTGGATGACTGAGAATTTCCATAGACATTTGCTCCAATGATGAAGCACCTACAACTTCTAAAAGCAAGCTGTTCCACTGGTTAATTATTGTCATCTTTAGGAAGGTTCTCCTTAATTCCAGGTTGCTTCTCTCCTTCATTAGTTTCCATCGTTTCTTGTCTTGCCTTTTGGTGCTTTGGAAAATAAGTTGATCCCTTCTTCTTTGTGGCACCTCCTCAAATACTGGTATGCTACTATTATGTCCCCCCCCCTTGTCCTTCTTTTCTCTAGACTAGTCATACTCAGTTCCTGTAACTGTTCTTCATGTTGTAGTCTTCAGGCCTTTCATCACCATAGTTGCTGTTCTCTGCACTTTTTCAAAAGTCTCAACATCTTTTTTGTAACATGGTAACCAAAACTGGCTTTTTCCAACCTAGCAGTTTGAAAGCATGTAAAAATGCAAGTAGAAAAATAGGGACCCCTTTGGTGGGAAGGTAACAGCACTCCGTGTGCCCTTGGCATTTAGTCATGCTGGTCACATGACCACGGAGACATCTTCGGACAGTGTTGGCTCTTCGGCTTTGTAATCGAGATGAGCACCGCCCCCTAGAGCCAGAAACAACTAGCACATATATGTGAGGGGAACCTTTACCTTTTAACCAAAATTGGATGCAGTATTCAACTTGTTAATGAAAGACTGCAAATTGTTTCTCCTTTTTCTTCATCTACTTTTTTCACAAAATTTCCAACTCCCCCCATGGTTATTTTGTTCTTATATTTTAACAGTAACGTAAAATATAATTATTTTCAGAAGACTGTAAGATTGATGTTAATGTCAAATAGAAAAAAATCCCTCTTACCTCCTACATTGTTTTTATAAGTATTATATAATTCTTTGACTCTTCTGTAACGGAATGCCAGCTTCCTCATCCAGTCAACTCCTCCTCTTACACCTGTTGGCAGACAAAGGTTTGCACTACTTGCAGCTGCATGGAAGCCATCAGTTGCAAAACTGTAGGTACTGCAAACACCCAAAATATGCAAAAGTGAATACTATTTCTTCCTAAAAATACATACTTATTTAAAATTGCTTCATTTTTTTTCAAGGCACATCTTACCTTAGGTCTTGTCCATTGTCATCGGAGGAGACATCATCTATATGTACTTGATCACATTCCTAGTAAGAGAGTATGTTTTAGAATAGGGCAGCTATATCTTGTTTAATGTTTTACATTGGTACTTTAATGTGAAAAATCTAAATGAGGATTGCCACCTTTATTGCCAGCAGATGGCAGAATATGAGCATTTACAATTTCATAAGGTAAAGCTATAATTTCTTTTTTCCACCACAATATGATCAACTGGTATATTCCTAGATATATTGCAATACTTCAAAGATTGATATGGTTATCAACAATTCCATGTAGTAAGTGAGCGCGCGTGCGCACAAACACACACACACACATACCAAAAGGAATGATTCCTCTTTGCTCAAATTAAGATTTACAAGTTTTAACACAATACTTAAATTTATGTTTGCTTGTCCTGCACAAGAAGACCCAATATAAAACACAAAATGAGAAATAAAAAGTTATTATTAGGACCATGTCAATAAACAGAACTTCACATCAATGTATTTATATAAATAAAAGAAGTAATGTCTAACTTTCAAACTCTATTTTTTCATGTCCCATTGTTGACTGCCCTGGCAGGCAATCATATTTATCTGTTTGAGAAATAGACTTTTAAAAGAAAAATAACTTTAAATAAAAATGTATCAAACTGCAACTAATTGTGCATGGTTTTATCAGTGGAAATAATATCTGAAAATATTGAATTTATCAGACCTGAACACCCAGTTAGAAAAATAACCCTGCCTGGAAAATAGCATCTATTTTCTTAGATGCTACTTTATTAATTCTTAGACCCTTGGTTAGGACCTGAATTGTTAAGTTTCTACCAGTCTTAGGCTCTGTTGGGTAAGTGTTAATTACCCATATATAATAATGATTATGTGATATTCATAATATAATAATACCCATATGTACTGGTTCACTAAGTTGGGACTTGAGCACTCAGGGTTATAATAGTTCTGGTCTTGCTTATAAAGACCAAAGACAATTTTCAAAAACGATAATGGTGACATTTGATCATTGTCATAACCGATGACCTCAGTGCCCTCATGAGAGAAAACAAATCTTTCTCACAGAGATACTTACTTTAATTTAATAATAACTGGAGTGATGCACAGAATTTTCTTTAGAGCAGTTAGAACTGTAACCTGTCCAGAATTTGACGGACAGGCTGTTAAAAGAGGAAGCATGAAGGAAACGAACAACTCTTTTACTGGAAAACTATGCTGTCTTCCCATATAAAATGCTATTGCTGGTTCTTGAAGCAGTTGTTAAAAGAACCGAATTGCATGTCTGAAAGATTTCTTCTCTATATTAACCTCTTCCACTTGGTGAAATCCTCCTCTATACTAACATCTCCAGAAACATACTCAATTGGGACTAGATAAAAAGCCTGTTTGTGGCTAAATCTAGGATCTGATGCTGTCTTCTATGGTGAACTGAGCTTGGAAAGCAACCAATATCTTGTTCAGTTGTTTTGACTTAGGGGAAGATCGCATTAACCGCTCCAAACTTGATTGCAGAAAGTACAACTTTAGCAACAGAGTGGTCAATGCCTGGAATGCATTACCTTACTCTGTTGTTACCTCCTCTAACCCCCATTCCTTTAACCTTAAACTATCCACTATTGACCTCACCCTATTCCTAAGAGGTCTGTAAGGGGCGTGTATAAGTGCACAATTGTGCCTACCGTCCCTGACCTATTGTCCCCATTTATTCGTACCTATTTCCTGTATTCTTACTCATGTTTATACTTATACCTATTATCTTGTAAGCGATTGACAAATCAAATCAACCAACCAGTCAATCAATATCATTTGCACTGCTTCATTATGGGCTGGAGGCAATTTTTAGGCTACTAGGGACAAGCTATAAAAAGGACACTGCAGTATGGCTTGATATTATCAGGGCATATATCTCTGATGCTGAGTGTCCTTTCTTGATGCATGAGCACAACTAGTTTTCCATCTCTAGTTGATTAAAAAAAATCATCATCAGTGATGTAATTATAGCTATTTAATGTCAATATCAGAGCTAAGTTTTTGGGCTCTAACAGTTATTACTGAATTTGTACTGTTTTACATTTATGGTTTCTTCCTGATGTTTCTAGAAAGTATTTTCGTATCAGCGTCTAAACAATTATGTCACAGCAAACTTTATTGTTAATTACCTTGATTTCTCACAAAAGGGCATGATGCAAAAGTTTCAGTAGGATAATCAATGCATAGTTTTTTTAAAAAATCAGATTAAGATGTCTTTTAAAATCTGAGCACTACGAAATAAAAGTTAAATAACGAATGAAGGAAAAGTTATATGGGAAAAAATTCCTATGAGGAATTGTAATTTCTTCCACAATTTGAGTGTGGAATAAATGCCCCCTTTTCTATTAAAAACTCAACTTTTCTTCTAGAATTTATAAAAGTACAAAGATTCTGAAACAGAAGATTTGGGCCATAGCCATAAAGATGTAAGTGGTCAAATTAGGAACAATCCTAACTGAAAGTCTTTTTCTCTTAGTTATCTTAGTCCCTTGCTTCCTATCTTTAATTTCTTTTCTGCTTTATTCTATTTACTTGTATGTATCTGCAATTCTATTTCATCTTGAATTATAATTTCATTTTCCATTCATCATAAAGCAGAATGAATTTGGAATTTCATACCACATATCTCGCCAATGGTCATGTTCCTGTTGCTACTTTGTTAAATGTTCCATTTGAATTGAGAATATGTGAAATAGTTTAATAGTTTAGTTTAATGACATTCCTTTCCTATCCCAGTAGAGTTAGATAGATTATAGATCACAGATTTCCAACAAATACATTGTTGATTACATTCCAGATCACACTTTCCAATCAAAGTAGGTTTGATGTTCTTTCTTTGGTTTCTTCTTCCTATTCTTTTCTTTCTCTGGCATTTGTTTCCATTGTAACTGTTTACCTCATTGCTTTTCATTCTATCTAGCTGAACCCACTTTTAATTCTTTGAGACCCATAAGGAATGTTGGACATAAATTATGCAAAGGTATCTGGTCCTTCCATCAGCAGAGTAACTTTCCAAAGGCTTAGAAGCATGAAACCAAATTTGGTGTCAGGGTGCTACAATAAATAATCAAATTCAAAAATGGGCCAGGCACTACAGAAAAACAAAAGTTCACAATGGATCCCTATGGAAGAGGAGGCTGAGCATTGTGTTAGAATATTGGCAATTGCATAATTCTCAGTTCTTAACTATCAATCACATGATCCAGAGTAGAACTATTATTAAAGAGTTACACAGGAGACTGCTTCACCACCTTGTTAAGGAATAATAATAATAATAATAATAATAATAATAATAATAATAATAATAA